AAGGAAGACCTCAATCTCTTCAACCTGTACTTTAGTATGGTATCAGAAGGACATGCTATACCACCTCCTTAGCTGCTGCCTCGAGAAGCATGTCCACCGACGGCAGCGGTATTGTCGATGGTCCATCTTGGTCCTTAGAGGTACCTCCCGTGGTAGGGGTATCGTTCATAGTCACAGTAGAGGCATGATCCTACTCAAGGCAGCCTCGGTCGACCCACCTCCTCTCTGGAGCTCCCATTGCTCGGCCAATACGGAGAGGTCCTCCTCTACTTCCTGGTCAAGACTCTCCCCCTTGGTTGGCACCAAACACTACCTTCAATTTGAGGTCTTCCCCGTCTCGAGTACGTGTGGTTACCCTCACTCTGTGGTCCGTTGGTGGTGAACGAGAAAGCTTCTCGATCTCAGCACGAAGAGCCTCGATGCGCTGATCGATCGCTGATGCATCTGACCAGCGAGGGACTCTTCCCAGACGGCCCTGGGGAGGCCCACCGTCCTGAATTCGTGTGGCCATGGAGAGGACATACCCCTCTCCCAGGGATGGATCACAACGACTAGGTCGCACAAGAGAGGGGGTCTCGATCCTACACTGAACACTGCCTAGCTTGGTACTCTCATGGGCCTACTCCTCAGAAGGCCCCTGACTAGGCCGGGGACGAATCTCGTCTCGTGGTGGAGGGTCATACCTATGGTCACTTTATCGGTGCTGACTGAGCCCTAAGGGGTACTCATAGACGATCTCCTGGGCAGGCATGCGGCCATGGTGAGCAGCCATGCGGAGAAAGGGCCCTGCCTCTTCCGTAATAGTCACTGTGGCGCCTGTATCTGAGGGGCGAAGGCTCTACCTCGTCGCGGTGATAGATGATAGGAGGACCCTCTGGGTTCGACTGGGACATGGAGGAGCGTCTACGAGGGCGTCGCTCTACGAAAATGTTCTCCATTGGCAAGCTCTACTACTGTGAGAACAGCACTAGAAGATCGACTCAGTAACGCATCACCAGTGTTGGATCGACGGAAACCACAAAAACATGTTGCTGCTGTGCACTACAGACCCCGCACGGCACTGCCAGTATCCCTCCGAAGGCTCGACCATCTACCATCGGCCTTACAGGTCTTCCTATGCTCCATATCGACGTAGTTGGCCTTGAGGTAATGCTCATACCCTACAGCCCAACATGACCCCTCGGAGAGACATGTTGGGCTCACCTTGGAACAGCAGCTCTTTGGTGTCCTCCTGCGCCTCCTCAGTCTTTCGCGTCTCGAGAAGGTATTCCTAAGACCAATCCTCACCCACTGGGAAGCCATGCTCTGTCGTACTTCAGTGCCAGGGAAGTACCAGGCGAAGTCACAGGTCACCGCAGCATCACCAGAGAGAGAGCCGAGGACAGTGCTGATCACAGGCCTAAGGCAGGACTTGACCGCTACCACTACCATGGGAGGGTACCTTGGGTCGGCCACGTTGTAGAAGGTGAACTTGTAACGCCAGTCGTGGAAGACATAGTGCTTCACAGCGAATTTACCGTGATGATGTGGACCTGTCGAGCACTATAGCCGGCCCGACGAGAGCGCCCCTACTCTTATTGTAGGTGACTCGCCACGCTCTTCGTTCCTGTCTAGCAGGCATGGGCCACACTGGGTCGACCCCTGAGGGCCTCTAGTGAAGACGACTGGTGGTGGATAGCCTTACCATTGTCAATAGCCCTTAGACCTAGTTTTAGGTTATTGATGGTACTGGTGAGATGCTCTCTGATGGTCGCTGTGTAGACCACAGTGAGCCGAGCCAATTTGTAACTGAGCCGGCGTGCCCCTTATCAACGGTCTCCCAGTACTACTCAGATTTGGTCGCCTCTCGAATCGCTAGTGGTACTCCTACGTTCGCCATTTATTACTCATCAATCTCCTGGGGTACAGTTCAACGCAACTGCTCCTCTCACTACGATCTGAATTCGATAAAATATGTCTTCCCGAAACGCTTCGCTCCGCCTTTTTTTTGAACGAGTCCATCGATTGCCCTGTCACTCGGAAGACGATTGTCCGACATTTGCCAAAGGGTGAAATAGTAGAAACGTTCCCTGAACTACTATGCACGACTTTGCCCCTTAGCCGTCCTTTGTTTGCCTCATTATTGCCATGAGAAAGAAGGTAGACTCTCGCGTCCGTATTATGGTGGAGCAGAACGTACTGCGTAACCAACGTAATAGAGGGTCTACTGAGGCGATGCAGGAAATGTACTCACAGGGTCGCTCTTTGTCGTGGTCGGCGACAATGGGAAGGACCAGGTGACCAATCTCCACTATCTGCTGTCCAAGGTCACTACCAAGAAGCCCTCGGTAAGGTTACTGGGTCGCCAGGACATGGTCCTCATGTTTGGAAGTGGTCAAGGTACTCTGGTGTTACAAGAAGGATTTGGGGTTCTCGTCGAATCGGAGGAAGCGTGGTAGGAACATCAAGAAGGCCATAAAGCAGGGCAAATACGATACTGCCACTGACGATCCCTTCGAGCTCTTCCTATCCAGTAATGCTTCTATCGGGGAGATCTCTTCATCTCTGCCCTGACCAGGCACTGACATAAGGTTCTGCTACTACCGCGACTCGGAGTCCATCCTAGGGAAGACCTACGACATGTGCGTCCTCTCGGACTTCGAGGCCCTCACGCCCAACCTCCTCTGCCGTAAGACCACCGTATGGCGGTCGTTATCTTCCATGATAGGTACTATGGAGACTGTCTCTGGAGGTGGTATAGTGATGATCATGTTGAATACTATGTCCAGTCTGAAACAATTGTAGGGCTGGTGCTGGGGGGCAAACACTAATACCACGCTGCGGCCAGGTACACTACGGTTATGGACGCCCATTCCAAGTTCCGTGGGGAGGACCACGACACTGTGGAGCCTCGGTTCAACGAGAGGTTCATTCTGAGTACTACAAGAGGTATGCTCACAGTGATGGCCATCTCTCATGAGTAGGCCTGGCGGACTGCCGCAACTGTTTGGTAGTCGACGATGAGCTCAATGTGCTGCCTGTCAGCCATGCGACCCTTGGCTCCATCTCTGAGACGGT